CAAAGACCTAATATTTACGTGCATGCATAATAAATTGATATTGTTTGGAATTTTCTTTACAGTCTCAGTCTAGACATTCTGTAATTTCATCATTTAGTTCTTCCGTCATATTATAAGGACCTAAGACGAATATACGTCGATTAAATAATATTAATTAGCAAAAATGGCAGAAAGTCAAACTAAAGATAAAGCAATTACGGCTTCTGATTAGCTAATACATGCACATCATTTAAGGTTCTAAGATAATGTATTTTGCTCGTATCGTCCTTACGGCTTTACCATAACATTTTTTGAACCAAACATATTTATAATTCAGCTTTATTTTAAGTTCTTGTTTTGCAAGCCACAGTATTTGTTTGTTTAGTTTAGTCATGTTTTCTCATATGTATATGGGGTTAATGTTACCAGGTTCTTGCGGGTGGATGTCTGCAGTTGTGACGGACGCTGTTTTTGCTGCTGCTAGCCATTTCTTATATATATTTTATATTTGTATATATATATATATATATATATATATATATATATATATATATATATATATTGCACCACCTACCTAGTATTCACTGTTTTATTCCTTTACACCTTTAGTTGCCTGGAAGAGATCGCTATGTAGCGATAAGGCCGCCAAATTGTACATGTAATCTGCTCTCTGTTATGTTCTTTGTAAATTTGTTTGTGGTGTACAATAAAGTATATTCATTCATTCATTCATTTAAAAGTGATAGATTTTTTTATCAAAGCTGGTTAAAGAATTGTCGCAAGATGTTTGAGTTGATTTGTTTAAAGTAAAGTTAGTTAAAGTTACATCCTATATACGTCCCGCTGCTGGGCACAGGCCTCCCCTCATTTCTGAGAGGGTTTTAGGGTAAGGAAGTGTCCGCCGCGCTACCCCAGTGCGTGTTGGCGAACTTCACATGTCTTCGAAATATTTTTTGTCTTATTTCTCAGACATGCAGGTTTCCCCTCATGACGTTTTCCTTCACCGCCGAGCACGTGGTAAATCAGCACTTAAAATTGCAGTTAACAATTTCATTGGTGCCGGCGGGGATCGAACCCGGTTTGCTCGCGTACTGTGAAATTTACAGCGAGCGCTAACCATCTGAGCTACCGCGGCTCTTAGTTGATTTGTTTACCGATGTGGGAGTGGTATTTTTAGGCAATTCTGGATGTTGCTCTGACATTACTATTCACTTTATTTATAACCGGGGTTGATCCGGTACGTAATGATTTTTCAGTTATTCCAAGATTTTTGTGGAGTACTATGATCTTGAACGAATTCATCATCATCATCATCATCATCATCATTATAGCCCTTCACAAGTCCACTGCTGAACAAAGGCCTCCCCCAAGTAACGCCACAAAGCACGGTCCCGAGCCACCCGCATCCACCGACTTCCTGCATATCTTACCAGGGCGTCACTCCATCTAGTGGGGGGTCGCCCTACACTACGCCTACCGGTACGAGGCTGCCACTCGAGAACCTTTCTTCCCCATCGGTTATCGGTTCTTCGAGCTATATGGCCGGCCCATTGCCACTTCAGCTTACTAATCCGTTGGGCTAATTAACTTAATTAATTAAATTGAACGAATTAACAATGGTTAATTCGTTCAAGACTATGACTTTCATATTATGTATGAATATAAGTCCCAGAAATATGGACACAATAAGTGAGGCGTTGCGATCGCTAAGTTCACTCAATAAAAGTAATTTTCAGTCTATTTTTCCGATCTGATGCTAAACCACTTGCACAGCCACGCACAATAAATTATTTCTCTATTTTTAATGTTTCCTTTTGTCAAAAAATAACAAAATTACGGAGCATGAAAATTTTCTCATTAAAAATGAAATGAAAATTTGTACATTATTCCACTAACTTCATCTACTTGTACTCATAAACAGCTAACTTCGTAGTCACTACTCACCGACGGCAGCGCTGCCATAAATTCTACAAATTTTCAAGGACTGTCGGTAGCTTTAGTACGTAGCGATCGTTCTCCTGTTCTCTAACCTCCATGCTAGCGATCGTTCTCCTGTTCTCTAACCTCCATGGTAGCGATCGTTCTCCTGTTATCTAACCTCCATGGTAGCGATCGTTCCCTCCCTCCATGTACGATCTTCTCCTGTTTCTAACCTCCATACATCTTCTCCTGTTCATAACCTCCATGGTAGCGATCGTTCTCCTGTTCTCTAACCTCCATGTTCCGATTGGTCAGTAACATGACATAGATTATTTAGTTTATGATCTCAGTGAGTCATGTTATTTGACATATTATGTGATTGATTTCATGTTTAATCGTTATATTTCAATTTAATAGTAAATATCACTTTTAGACTGTTATGTTACTAATATGCAATGAAATATATGAACCTATTGCACTTTTATGTTCACTGTTTTGTTTATTTTTACTCACTAACAATTTGTATTTTACTAGTCGCCAAATTTAGGCGAGGGTGAAAACTGGCAGCGATCACCGAATGGTTAGAGGCACACTGAACTTAAAAGTTAGGTTGGAGAGGTCTCGTCTAATGAAGCCAACGCTCAGTCCCCCTCGTGCGGTAGGTGGTGCGGGGTCTCGAAAACTTTTAGCTCGAATTACAAAACCGTTTTCAGTGCCTAGAAGACTGCAATACAGTGGACGATATAAATGGCAAGCTCGTGGAAAATGTCCATGCGGTAGGAGCTAAGTTCTACAAGACCCGCCGCAGAAGAACACAAAAGCTCTCCAATCACACTCTTAATCTCATGGATGATAGACAGGAGATGAAGCTGCAGTCGTCAGTAGATTAGACAGCATACAGCCAACTGAACAGACAGATTTCCAAATGCATGCGGCAGGATCTAAGAGCAAGTCTTATCCGACACTATTCTGATGATATCCCGGACGTCAGTCTGAGCGAGATTAGAATGGCTCTCCAGCACCTTAAAAACGGCAAGTCCCCTGGCGAGGGTGGAATTACAGCGGAGCTTCTGAAAGCGGGTGGAAAACCGGTACTTGAAGTCCTTCAGAAGCTCTTTAATTCCGTCCTCCATGGTGGCACTACTCCCGAAGCGTGGAGCAGAAGTGCGGTGGTCTTGTTCTTCAAGAAAGGTGACAACGCTGTCTTGAAGAACTACATACCGATATACCTTCTGAGCCGCGTCTACGTGCTGTTTTCGAAAGTCATTACGAATCGTCTCGCACGCAGACTCGACGACTTCCAGCCTCCCGAAAGCCGGTTTCCGACAAGGCTTTAGCACCATAGACCTCATACATACCCTTCGGTAAATTGTACAGAAGTCCTTAGAGTACAATCTGCCACTTTGGGAGCACAAAACTCAAAGTTGTTGACGAGTACGTTCACCTGGGACAAATAGTCCGACTAGGTAAGTCCGACTTCGAACGAGAGGTCAACCGACGGATTCATCTCGGCTGGGCAGCGTTCGGGAAATTACAACACATCTTCTCGTCAGTTATACCTCAAAACCTGAAAACTAAGTTGTACAACCAGTGCGTGTTGCTAGTGATGACCTACGGAACCGAGACGTGGTCTTTCACTGCTGGCCGTATGAGGACGCTCAGTCGCTCAGCGAGCTATGGAGAGGGCTATGCTCGGAGTTTCTCTGCGTGATAGACTTAGAAATGAACATATCCGCAATACAACCAGAATGACCGATATAGCCCAACGGATTAGTAAGCTGAAGTGGCAATGGGCCGGCCATATAGCTCGAAGAACCGACAACCATTGGGGAAAAAAGGTTCTCGAGTGGCAGCCTCGTACCGTTAGACGAAGTGTAGGGCGACCCCCCACTAGATGGAGTGAAGACCTGGTAAGACATGCAGAAAGTCGATGGATGCAGGTGGCTCAGGACCGTGCTTTGTGGCATACCTTGGGGGAGGCCTATGTTCAGCAGTGGGCTTGTGAAGGGCTGTAATGATGATGATGATGATGACATATTGCATACTTTTGTGGCGTGTGCTTTGCTCCAACTGGCGTACCTACGGTAGGATTGAGCAAAAAAGAATAGAGCAGTAAGCACTTGCAATTAAAAAGAGAACAATCTTATATTTAAACTTGCACTTGTATTTAAGTTGAAACTTGAGTTGCAAAAATTTAAAAACGAATGATCGATACATACTTTATGTTCCAAGGAAACACGTTGGGAAGGCTTTAGATTTGTCAAACGCCGTAGCTTTTTACACAAAAACTCCAATGATTTCTTTGTAAAAAGGGATATCTATCTTTTAATTGCCTCACCGTGAGATGTAACAAGGAGTTGAAAGATGCAAGAGCTCTTATTTCAACATTGGCGTTATAATTGCGGTCATCTTGTGTCTTGGCGGCTGTAAACATCCTCCATGCGAAAAAAGACGTCCTGATATAGTTAGATATCGTTCACACAAAACGAAATAAAATTAAACCTTCAACTATTGTTCTCACTACACTTTCTCACTGCAAAAATCTATGTAAAAACTTTTTCGATAGCGACAGAGTAAAAGTAAATACACTTTTATTTATGTTACGTCTCGAACGATCAAAATTGCCGCTCGCACTCGCAAAATACTTGAAAGTACTTGAAACGATCAATCACGAGCGTTAACGTTCTCACTGTCGAATGCTAGTAAATGTTCGATGGTCGATATCGACCACTTAATAAACTAGTACTCAGGAATTATGTTTCCGATTATTGTAACTAGTTGGCGCTATTTTTATTCCATACAATTCGTAGTTAACTTTAACGCTATCGAACGCGTATAAAAACTCGCACTAGGCACCCCCCCCCCCCCACCTCAAAAACCCCCAACACCCCAACCTCCCAACTCCCTCCCCCCCCACCCCAAACACGCTTATTATTTATTTGGACGTTGTCCGGCGTCGTCAACAGTAGTATCCTTATTACAGAAATCAGGCAGAGGAACAAGGAGCATTTATCACTTTCTATAGCTCGCACTCCATAAATATGGTAAACAATCAATTTAATCATTATGGCTATGTACCTCAAAGGAACCCATCTCTGCAGGCCCTCGCGAATGCAGCTGACGCTGTGGAATCTGGTACCAAGTCGCCAGTGTCGGCGCTGGGCGATCTGGGCGTTCAGGTCTCCCACACAGTTCTGCAGCAGGATGATTTAGCACAATGTCCAAGATTCACCGTTGCCGTCACTGTGAGTAGCCTTGAATAAAATTAATTTTATGGATTTTGTTACTCTTAACTTTAACTTTCTTAATTCCCGACCTTTCAGGCGCTTTGCCATATACCATATGTCAGGATTTTTGGGCTCTTGTCAGGATTGCGGTCGGATTTAGGAAATGTCAGGATTTTTCGATTTTTGAACAAAACACAGCATGTTTTTGGTTGGAAGGCAAAGGTAATCTGCGACGTTATTAATAAGCGAGAATGTACAAGACAAATAATTGATTTGCATGAAAACGTCAGGATTTTTCTATGGAAATCAGATTATTCGTCAGGTCTTTTAAATTTTCCATTTGGTAACGGGAGGGACTTAGGTGTTTGACGTCCTAGGTCTATTCACAATCGTCTGATGTCATAGTTAATGAAGTAAACCAAACTATAAAATATACGTTCGACGGTTCCCTGGCGCAGTGGGTTATCGTTTTTTTTCCAACCGACTTCAAAAAAGGAGACCTTTCTCCTTTTTTAAAATTTAATCAAGACTTGACCAGTAGTTTTTGAGTTATCTTTTATAATGCGTATTTAATTGACTTCGAATACATTGATTCAGTCGTATTGAAGTCGGTTGTACAAAGTTTTTAATTTTACCACTTGTTCTACCTAGAAGTCTGTCTTTGTAGGTACCACCACCCTCGTATTTATTTCTGTCGCCGTGTTTCTGGAGGATATAGAGCTATAGAGTTAGAGAGCCAGTGTAATTGAAGGCTGTGAGGTATTCCATCTTAGTTCTCAGATGTGACAACGCATCTGTAGATTTCATTCTCTGTAGTCTAAGTGAATATTGCAATCGGTTATACAATTTTTTTTTATTTTACCACTTGTTTAATATTAAGTTTAATAATACGATAAACTAACGAAGTATACTTCAACCACACTACTAACAAAACAATATTACGTTTAATGGTACCTGGCGCAGTGGCTTAGCGATGAGTTAAGGCGCTGAAGGCCGCTGGTTCCATTCCTGCACGAAGCAAGTATTTGTAACGCCTACAAATATTTTTTCCGGGAGATAAGTTTTTACCCAAAGTAGTTTTGATGAAGGATTAAGACCTTACGTTGGACTGATAGTTGGCGGTATAGCCATCTTGTTTATACCAAGCGGAAAAAAGCATTTACTACTTCAAACAGTTCAAAAATAATAGAATAAGGGTGACGAACGAGCACAGTCCAAATGGTGCTAAGTGGTTTCTGTGTCCCTTAGACATCTACATGTATCGTCCACCACCTCGACACCCCTGAGGACTAAGGTGGAATGTCTTCTTTCTAGTAAAAAGGGTTTCGGTTCTCTAGATTCACCACACGAAACACAACAGCTTTGAGCTGGTATTTTATTATGGTGTTCTGTAAGAGCCTGGTCCTATCCCGTTCGAGCCGAACCATTCATATTGTACATCCATATATTTTTACTTGGTAGAGCCATGCTGCAGTTATATTAATTGTATAGTTGTAGCACGAATGGGTCGGCTCGACCGGAGAAGGACCACGCTTTCACAGAATACCAGCGTTAAATAGCAGCTTAATGCTGCTGTGTTTCGTATGGTAAGTGTAGAGAACCGGAGACACTTTTTACTGGAAAAGAGGCATTCCATCTTAGTCCTCAAGTCTGACAACGCATCTGCATTTTGATTCGCAAACGAGGATGGATGTAGATGTCTATGGGCCACAGCAACCACTTACCATCAGGTGGACTGTGTGCTCGCCTGTCATCCTTTTCCTATATAAAAAAATTATATATCCATAGAAGATTGCGGAGGCCCGTCTAGCTACGCTGAATGTTTGTGGAGCAATAAATGATAAGATGGATGAAGTATGCGATACGATGTATGATAGAGGAATAGATGTGTCATGTGTAAATGAGACGAAGCGGAAGGGAAAGGATGTCACAACACATGGCATATACACCGCGTACTGGTCCGGTGTAGACGAAATCGAGCGAGCATGCCAGGGAGTCGGTATCATCCTTTCAGAAAGAATGGGTCAATGTGTGAAAGAGTATGAATGTGTAAGCCCGAGACTGCTATGGATACGAATAAAAGTGGGCCTAAAGAAGTTGCTTGTTCTAAGGGTCTACGCCCCAGACAAGCCCACTTATATCCGAGAGCAGTTTTGGGAGATGGTAAGGATGGTGTTAATGAAATGTAAGGAAAATGAAAATATTGTTATATTAGGAGATTTTAATGTAAGGGTTGGGGTGAGGAGGCTTGGCTAAGAAAGGATACTGGGAACGTTTGGTGATGAAAGTATTAATGAGAATGGTGAAAGCCTCCTCACCGTGTGTGTGGAAAGGAATCTTTTTGTGACGAACGACTGAAAACGAGAACGAATGAAAGGAAAGACAATACGTTATTGTGGGATAATGAGGTACGTATAGAAGTTGAAGCAAAGAACAGAGCATGGCTAGATTTACTAGCAACCAAAGCTGGTAATTCTGGCGGTAAGAATGATGAGATTGAAAGAAAAAAAGGCAGAGTTTAAACGTCTAAATAAGAGAGTAAAAGAATTAGTTGAAAAGAAAAAGCAAGAAAGAACGGATAAAAATGATAGAAGAATATCGGATAACTTCCAGGCAAATATTAAAATAATACTAGTTTTTACGGAATTTATCGCGTATATTTAACTTTTTAAATACCCGACGTTTCGAACGCTTTACAGCACTCATGGTCACGGGCGAGACTTAAAAAGTTAAATATACGCGATAAATTCCGTAAAAACTAGTATTATTTCAATGTGTAGTGTTTGCGTAAATATAAGAAATCATTAAATATTAAAATGTTCTGGAAACTCGTAAGAAATTCCAGGGGACATTGAAATAAGCCTAGATTGAATGCGATACGAGACGAGAATGGCTATATTCTGAATGATAAAGTGTTGAGTCTAAAGAGATGGAAGGAATATTTTGAAAGCGTATTTATGAGTGAGGAGACGTGTGAACTAAATGAAATAGAAATTCCGAAAGAAGATGAAAGAGATAGGGAGATAAGTAAAGATGAAATAATGAAAGCAATGAAAAGCATGAAAGTAGGTAAGGCAGCTGGATATGATAGAGTTTCACTCGAAATGCTAAAGGCTGGAGAGGACGTGGTGGCAGGTCTGCTGTACACCTTGTTTAATTTCTGTTGGGAACCAAAGCGGGTACCGGGAGACTGGTGCAAAGCCGTGATAGTCCCAATATATAAGGGAAAAGGGTCACAGCAGGACTGTAAAAACTACCGTGGTATATCAGCCTTCTTAGCATGGTGGGAAAACTATATGTTAAGGTACTAATTGAAAGAGTTACGAAAGAAACTGATGAAAAAAATAATAAAGTCGGCGGCCGAGTTGCAAATGATGGTTACATTAATGAACAGGTCATTAAAAGAAAGGGGAATGAAAGTGAACGCAAGTAAGACGAAAGTGATGGTTTTTGAAAGAGAAGAAAGCAAAACGGTATGTGAAATAAGAATAAAAGGAGAGTTAATTGAGCAAGTGGATGAGTTCGTATATTTAGGATGTGTATTCAGCAGGGATGGGAGATATGATAGGGATATTGAACGACGAGTGAATGCCTGAAATAAAGTAAATGGGGCTCTACACTCTATTGTGAAAAGTCAGTATGTGTCAAAAAAGGCACGTATGGCAATTCACAATAATACTGTATTAGTCCCTACTTTAACGTATGGTAGTGAAAGTTGGGTGTGGCAGAAGAAGCACGAGAGTAGAATAAATGCAGTAGAAATGCGGTCGCTAAGGAGTATGTTAGGGCTGAATCTGAGTGACAGGGTGAGAAACTGTGTGATAAAAGAAGAGTGTGGTTTGCAAGATGATGCGGTGACCAGAGTTAAGAAAGGAATTCTTCGGTGGTTTGGTCATGTAGATAGAATGAATGAGGAAAGACTGACAAAGCAAATATATGTTGCAGAAGTGAATGGAAGAGTCGGAAAGGGACGTCCTAGACGGAAGTTTGTCGACCAAATTGGCGATATACTAAAAATGGGCTAAATTGAGAGTACCCTTAACCGACGAGCACATATGCGTAGGTATGTGGATGTGGAAGAGGCGAGAAGGGTATGTCAGGATCGTGCTAAATGGAAGTCTGTAGTCTCTGCCTACCCCTCTGGGTGTCAGGCGTGAGTGTTTATGTTTATATATAATATATATCCATTCACAATCATAATATAGTAGCAGCCTCTTCACTATCTCGTCGTTTTAGTGTTCGTAAACGTGATTGTTGATCCAAAATCGAAAAGTTTGTGAGTTTTTCCATCAAGAAATTAGCAGTAGCAACTCGGAGTCAAGAAGTTGGCGGTGTTTTACCCCCATGCCTCAGAAAGTACTTAAAACCGTTGGTCATGCGGCTGATCCAGTTGCGTCGGATTATTGTCTCATCAGACTATGAGAGTGAGGGCATAGAGAGTGACACTGTGCTGGCGCATACACTCGTGCACGATTATCTTGTTCCGTGCAGATGGCTAGTCTTCGTTGAGACAAGCTGCCGTGACTGATACTCGGGCTGGATGACATTATTATAGCTGCAACATGGCTCTACTTGTCAATTTATATTTTGTACGAATTTATATGTTAGTTAATGTGTGTTGATCAAATGAATGTTCATTTGATTATGGTTTGTGTGGAGGTGGCGGACATGACTTTCGAGGGGTGGGGCTACAGCGAGTGGGAAGCTCGAAATGCAGCGGCACGCGCCTGCCTGGCGGCGCTGCTGGCGCGCGGGGACCGCCTGCTGCCGGCGCCTCCTGGGCACCAGGTTCTCGCCAGATGCAACCCGCCCAACGGACAAGGTCAGTCTTCATAACTAGATATGCCTTATCTATGGTTGTCAACTTCGTGATACCTTATAAATGTGTTGAAAATTGTAATGTCTACCCTTCGATCAATAATGGTACTAGATTGCCGATACAAAAGATCCCGATTCAAAAACGACCCGAAAATAAGACCACAAATACTTTTGTAGTCTTATTTCAAATTAATATGGTCCAATCATAGCCAACGTTAGGACGTCAAAATGCCGCAATGTGCTTTCGCAAACTGTGTAATAACTACCGTAACAAGAAGATTTTGAAAGGTATATCTTTTTTTCTGTAGGTTCACATGTTCACATCATTAAGTGATGTGAACCTACAGAACAAAATTCACATCATTAAATGTTTTTCGTGGGCGACACTGAAAGTTTTTAGAACTGGCCACTTACTTGTAAACGATCTGATAAAAAATAAGTTCAAATTTTGAAAATGGAACTCCTTGCCAATATTATTGTGAATGTTTTTTCACGTTAGCATGCATTGAACGCGAGAAAATATGTGGACAATGATATTTTATGACTTTCGATTACATTTAAGTCAACAAGAAAGTAATGATAGATTTCGATTGGCCTTTCACGATGAAGCCCCGTCTCATGCCACTGTTAATGAGTTTAAACGTGGTCACACTAATCTCACCGATGATCTGCGTGAGGGACGGGCTTCTACGGCGACGACTGAAGATAACATCGGTGTTGTGCGGTGTATAATAGAGACTCACAAAAGAGCGACTTACCAGCAGATCCGGACAAGCTTAGGCATCGGTATGAGTCAAGTGCACAAAATCCTCCATGAACATTTAGTGGTCAGGAAGCTTTGTGCCAGGTGGATAGCTCATAATTTGACAGAGGCCCAAAACTCCGTCGTGTTGATTGGTATCGTGAAATGGTTCAAAGATTTAACGGAGGTGACTCAAATGCTGTGTTCGACATACTTGCGGGTGCCGAAAACTGGATTTATTATTATGATCGTTGTTAAAGCGATTATTTACCTAATAAATGTTACCTATAACTAGCTATCGATAGTAGTAAAATCATACAGCCCGCTTAGAAATGTTATCTGTAAACTGTAAAGTCAGTGCAAAATAAAACCTCGTATCGTCCTCACGTCTATTTATTACAAGATCCTGCTTAATCAAAATCAACCTTAGCACTCTAGACAATCGTAAAACTAAGAGAGTCTGCTGTCTGGGTGTTTCCTTCCGAGTAGTAGCCAAGTAAAGTGAAAACAGGTTTGATATTAGGTTAATTATTACAAACAGGAAGCATGGGAAAAAAGATGGTAGCATTGTTCTTCGAAACGACTGGTCATTACGCATTTGGATTACTGGGTCATCCCCCCTATGCCCTGGGCCCCGACGTTGCGATTAATTTATGCGCATTTATTTATTTCCGAAAATAAAATAAAAACTTCGAGGAAAACTTTTTATATACGCCGAGGAAGCAGTGGCTGCATTTCAAAATGCCGTCGAAGAGAACCCTAAGGACGAGTGGGCAAATTGCTTTTATCAGTGGTTCCATCGGATGCAGCAAAGTATTGATGTAAATGGATACTATTTTAAAAATATATAATAAAACTAATAACTTGCTAGTTTGCCCAGTTTTTGATTTTCTAAGAACTTTCAGTGTCAACCTCGTAAAACAGAATTAAATAGTAAATATGTTAGACGCACCATCTATTATAACAAACATTGAAAATTGTAAGAAAGCCATTCAGATGCAAAGCTTCTAAGGAACTGTCAAAATATTTTACCTATTTTGGTAAGGTTGGCACAGGGAGATACAAACTAGTTATGCAACGAATACAAATACGTATATTCTCGAATATTATTTTTGTACGCAACTCTAATTACTTACAGACTTGGAAAACGCGCGCTGTCGGCGCGTAAAAAGTACGACGTGTAGTCGCCCTTAGTTTTATTTTAGTATTGGCCCGGAGTTTCCCTATATTTAAGAACCGTGGATTGTTCCATGCATTTCATTTGACAGTCGAACAAAAGCAAAATTCAAGCAAGAGTGTATTATTTGCTTTAATTGTTTTGTGAGGTTGCTGCGAAGTGAAAGAAAGAAGTTGAAGTTGAAATCTCTTCTCGTAAACGAGATCAAAGTGACATACGGAAACACTTGGATAAATTACAGAGTAAGTAATTATATGGTCTGTATTTCCTCTGTATTAACAAAAAGTAGGTAAATAATGGCTGCGTCTATGTAGTACTAGACTTTGCCCACGACTTTTGAGTTCCTGACTGCTATTTTTTGTTGTAAGTTTTATTTATTAGAACAAGAGAAAATTATGAAATAAGTTTTTTATTACCATGGCAAGATATTCGTATTCGTATTCGCCGAAAAATGGGTTAGATATTCGTATTCGTATTCGTAAAAGTAGTATTAGTTGCATCACTAATATAAACAAAATGTTTATCGGCGTTTTATTATGAATCTATGATAAAATATTTTTTGGCAAACTACGTACTCTAAATATTATGTTTATGTTTTTGAATAAATTGTTCTGCCTTTTAGTTGATTAATAAATTTTTTATATAATATATAAAATGACGACCAGACGCCAACTGTTCAGTGATGTCTCAGTGATCGCAAGGGTGAAAACCGGCAGCGATCACCGAATGGCTAGAGGCACACTGAACCTAAACGTTAAGTTGAAGAGGTCTCGTCTAATGAAGTTAACGCTCCGTCCCCCAGAATATAATCCAGAATCCCGAGATTTTTCAGCTCGAGTTACGTAACCGCTTTCAGTGCCTAGAAGATTGCAATGCAGTGGACAAATATGAATGACAAGCTCGTGGAAACTGTCCATGTGGTCGGCGCTAAGTTCTGCAAGACCCGCCGCAGAAGAACACAAAAACTCTCCGATCACACTCTTAATCTCATGGTTGTTAGACGGGAGATGAGGCTGCAATCGTCAATAGATTTGACAGCATACAGGCAACTGAACAGACAGATCTCCAAATGCATGCAGCGAGACTTACGCAACTTTAATACTGCTCGTATTAAAGAAGCGATCGAGCGGAACCAGAGCTCAAAGTCTTTGCCAGAGATCTGTCTGCCAGAAAGAGCCAACTGTCAAGGCTGAAGACTGAGTGTGGCAGCATCGTTTCCGGGACACTTGAGATTTTGAGTGTGATTGAGAGGTTCTATGAGCAGCTGTATACATCATCGTTGGAGCCACACGCAAGTGTGAGTAACGATCCAAGAGCAAGTCTTACCTGACACTATTCCGATGATATCCCGGACGTCAGTCTGAGCGAGATTAGAATGGCTCTCCAGCACCTTAAAAACGGCAGGGCCCCAGGCGAGGATGGAATTATAGCGGAGCTTATGAAAGCGGGTGGAACACCGGTACTTGAAGTCCTTCAGAAGCTCTTCAATGCCGTCCTCCATGGTGGCACTACTCCGGAGGCGTGGAGCAGAAGTGCGGTGGTCTTGTTCTTTAGGAAAGGCGACAACGCTCTCTTGAAGAACTACAGACCGATTTCCCTTCTGAGCCGCGTCTACGTGCTGTTTTCGAGAGTCATTACGAATCATCTCGCACGCAGACTCGATGACTTCCAGCCTCCCGAACAAGCCGGTTTCCGAAAAGGCTTCAGTACCATAGACCACATACATACCCTGCGGCAGATTCTACATAAGACCGAAGAGTACAATCTGCTACTTTGCCTGGCGTATGTGGACTATGAGAAAGCCTTTGATTCCGTCGAAATTTGGGCGGTGCTACAGTTCCTTCAGCGGTGCCAAGTTGACTGTCGGTATATCGAAGTGCTGAAGTGTTTGTACAGTAGGGCTACGATGGCTATCCGAGTACAGAACCAGAGTTCGAAACCTATCCAACTGCAGAGAGGTGTAAGACAGGGTGAAGTTATATCCCCGAAACTCTTCACCGCTGCGTTGGAAGACGTTTTCAAGCTACTGGACTGGAAAGGATACGGTATTAACATCAATGGCGAGTACATCACTCACCTTCGATTTGCCAACGATATAGTCCTTATGGCAGAATCGCTGGAGGACCTTAGCACTATGCTCAATGACCTCAATGGTGTCTCCCAACGGATAGGTCTTAAGATGAATATGGACAAAACAAAGATCATGTTCAATGTCCATGTCACACCTATGCCGGTAGTTGTTGGGAGCACTATGCTCGAAGTTGTTGACGAGTACGTTTACCTGGGACAAATAGTCCGACTAGGTAAGTCCAACTTCGACCGAGAGGTCAATCGACGGATTCAACTCGGCTGGGCAGCATTCGGGAAATTACGACACATCTTCTCGTCAGGTATACCTCAATCTCTGAAAACTAAAGTGTACAACCAGTGCGTGTTTGCCAGTGATGACTTACGGATCTGAGACGTGGTCCTTCACTGCTGGCCGTATGAGGACGCTCAAGATCGCTCAGCGAGCTATGGACAGGGCTATGCTCGGAGTTTCTCTGCGTCATAGACTCAGAAATGAGGATATTCGTAGTAAAACCAGAGTGACCGACATAGCCTAACGGATTAGTAAGCTGAAGTGGCAATGGGCCGGCCATATAGCTCGAAGAATCGATAACCGATGGGGAAGAAAGGTTCTCGAGTGGCAGCCTCGTACCGGTAGGCGTAGTGTAGGGCGACCCCCCACTAGATGGAGTGACGACCTGGTAAGACATGCAGGAAGTCGATGGATGCATGTGGCTCAGGACCGTGCTTTGTGGCATTACTTGGGGGAGGCCTATGTTCAGCAGCGGACTTGTGAAGGGCTGTAATGATGATGATGATGATGATATATAATATAAAGTTTCTTCCTTAAATAATCTTATAGAAAGCACACAAGTTGCATTTGTACCTATACAAACTTGCACACGTTTTAATATATCACTAACAATATGAACAATGATTATTTCGAAATCAACATACCTATTCGCGAAATTTTTGTTCAAGCAATTCAACAAATGCGATAAATTTGTTGACGTATATGTATGGCCTATGTGATATCTATTTAGCACATTAAATATAATAAATAATAATCAAGTACTAATTACCTAGTGGAGTGCTTGGGATAATTAAATAATGATATATTTTTATTAACTTTATTTGCTTTAAGCTAGTTATAATATTGTTGCATATAAGTACTATTAATAATAATTAAGAGGATTGTGAAGCTGTAAAGGAGCATGCCAGATTTACTATAGAACTTTGCCCCACCCAAAAGCGTGGTATACACGAATGCCGTATGCAACAATCTTTTACCGCTTTATTATTTCATTGAAATTATATAATTTGGAGTCTCTAGAACTTGCGATTTTTTTTGAACTGGACTTTAATAATTACATCTACCTTATGTTTTAGATTCGTAATGAATCTAAAACGAATCGAAATTCGTAATGAATCTAAAACATAAGGAAGATGTAATTATTATATATAGGCATTACGAATCGTCTCGCACGCTCACTCGATGACTTCCAGCCTCCCGAACAAGACGGTTTCCGAAAAGGCTTTAGCACCATAGACCACATACATACCCTTCGGCAAAATTTAGAGAAGACCGAAGAGTACAATCTGCCACTTTGCGTGGCGTATTTGGACTATGAGAAAGCCTTTGATTACGTCGAAATTTGGGCGGTGCTACAGTCCCTATCCCATGGGTTATTGTCCATTGAAAAGTCCATTGTAGACTTGAGGTCTCCAGGTCGTATCGGTCCAGAAAAATCGCCGGTGCTAAATTATTCCACAGATTCACAGGTCGTACGCGGAAGAAAACTCCTAATGAAACTTACAGTGGTGGACCGCCAAGCATCCAGATGGTGTGGATGGTATCGGGAGGTTTGCTGCCTAGTGCGTTTATGAAATTTGGCGGCTGGGATTAATCCGAACAATTCCTCAGAGCACTCCCCGTGATAGATGCGATAAAATACGCAAAGAGATGCATCATCTTTTCGCAGCGCCTGTGAATCAAGCTGATCGGAAAGCATTCGGTCGTCGACGATTCGATCCGCTCTGTTCTGGATGCGGTCAAGTGGAAGGAGCTGGTACTGGGGAGCCCCAGCCCAGAGATGGGAACAGTATTTCATGTGTGCGCCTTGTAAATTTGCAGGTGGTGTGCCGGCATGAAATACTGTCCCAGTCTGCTGAGCATGCCAAGCTTTTTAGAGACCAATTTGGCCTTCTCTTCCAAATGACCACGAAACTGCACGTCACTCGATATATCGACGCCGAGGATTCCGATACTGGCTGAGGCAACAAGGGTACCTTGAAACTGAGGAGATATGACAAAGGGGTTCTTGTTAGCGGTTAACGCGCAAACTTGTGTCTTCAGAGGGTTAAACTGGACTAGATTTAGTCGCCCCCAATCCGAGACTTTGTTCAGCAAAGACTCGACTTCAGACACAAGTTTGTCCCGGTACTCGGAGACGTTTTCCCGAGAAATTTTGGCACGGCCGGTGTACAGAGCATCACCAGTGTTGTCATCTGCATAGCAATGAATGTTGCGGGTTTGCAACATATCATTGATATACAGAAGAAACAGCGTTGGTGATAGCACGCAGCCTTGTAGAACTCCAGCATAAATAGACTTGTAATAGGAGCTTGCATCGTCTACAACGACCTTGATGCTCCGACCTGCAAGAAAGCTGGTGATCTAATTACAACTTAGCCTGGATGATAAATTATGCGAGGAAATTTATGTCCGGACGACCGCTTTTGATCGTGATGGTCGATATACTGTAGCAATACCCTTTAAAGGGGATATTTTGTCTCTTGGTGACTTGCGTCAAATGACAGAAAAACGTTTTTATTGTTGGCAGCGCGAGATGCTCGCTTTGCCCAAATTAAAGGAGGCTTATGACAGTCTTATTAACGAATATATAACAGAAGGCGGATATATTTTGCTTCCGTCTCCAAAGATGGATGACTGTAAAGAGATGCCGTCGTATTTCATACCGCATCACGTTGTCGTTATGGAAGTAAAATTTACATCTAAGTTACGTGTGGTACTTGATGCTAGCGCTATATTATAGCACCCGCCTCTACCTTAACGACATTCTTTATAGTGGGCATTACAGGGCAACCTATTTAATATAATAGTAAATTTTCGTTTGTTTCGTATTGCATTATCCGTTGATATTCGTCAAATGTTTCTTTGTTTTCGTCGATTCCAGCGCATTTTATGTCGCTTTAACCCAAAAGAACCTCTAAAGGTATTTAAATTTAACCGCGTTTGCTTTGGTTGAAAGCCAAGTCCATTTCATGGGTAGACAGAGGTGGACTCATTTTGTTCCTCGAATGAGAGGCGCGCTTCGTTAAGGTTCGCTCAGTTGCAACACAGTTTTCGTCGCCCCGCAAGACCGTGGAGAGAGGCCGCTCGTAGTTTGCCCATGTAAGTGTCTGTTCCTTAATTTTGAGCTGTTATTATTTTGTTGTTCCCTTTTCCACGGCAGCTCATGTTCTATCGAGCCGGCTAACGCAATAAATTGCATTTATAGCTGGTGCCACGTCCGCCATATGGTTTTGGTTCATTTGGAACCACGCTAATACAGTCCATTTGATCGTTCGCCCCGTTCATACCTTTCGCTATTCGCGCACCCAAAATTTTTTGTTTAATTTGTCTTCATCTGTTGTGACTACTCTACCAAATATTAAGTAAGACTTTTGCACGTTCTTAAGAAGCTTTGTCTACTCATGTGGTGTCGCGTTGCGGTGTGAGGGGTGAGGGGCGGCTTCCCTTGCCGTCCGTAAACACCGGTTCAACATGTTAATGTATGGATGCAACTGTAGGGTCGCGCAAGAAGCTGGCAGCGGCGCGCGTGTCGCTGGGCACTCAGCGCGTCGCGCTGCCGCGCGCCCACAGCTCGCCTTGCGCTTCCTGCGCGTTGCCGCTGTCGCAGCTGCTGACGGACCACGTGGCCAGGTGTGGACTAATGACGCTATGCATGCCTGATCCCAAACTTTTTATTTATAGAAATGGGGTGACAAACGAGTACGCAGACTACCCGATGGTAAGTGGATGATACGGCCCATAAACATCTAAATTTATGCTCGATTAAGAATCGAAATGCCGATGCGTTATCGCCTCTGAGGACTACGAGTGGAATAACTCGTTTCCACTAAAAAGTAAAACAGTATGACCCTAGTCCGGTCAAACCGACCTATTCGTGCTACCACGTATATCTCAAGCTTCTAGCGATTAAGGTAGAACAACTCTTAACTATTTGTCACCTTTACTTTTGCAGCCTATCCAAAGTCAAAGTCCAAAGTAAAAGTCCAAATTTTATTTGTTACAATTGCCGCGCTTTACAAGCGAATTGGGAATAACATTGTTTGAAGTGAAAACTTCTTTAGAATGGTTGTGATTTGAAACACGATGAAACAAAAACGCGAGACTAAAACGAAACAAACATGTACATCTATAGAATATAGCCTGTAAGAGAATGAGATAGAAAACAATATACAGTGTTTATTATAAATTCATCTATATTTTAATAACATAAACCCTACAATTATCCTACTCCAGATACTCTGTATTCATATCATTCTCACAAAGTTTAGTTCACTTAAGATTTCACTTCTAGTAGTTATAGCACACAGTCCACCTGATGGTAAGTGGTTGCTGTGGTCCTCTAGGCATCTACATCTATCCTCGATTACGAATCAAAATGCAGATGCGTTGTCATCCGTGAGGACTTAGGTGGAATGCCTCGTTTCCAGTGAAAAGGGTCTCCGGTTCTCTACACTCACCATACGAAACACAACAGCATTAAGCTACTATTTAACGCTGGTATTCTGTGAGAGCGTGGTTCCTCCCCGGTCGAGCCGACCCATTCGTGCTATAAATATACTACAAATATAACTGCAACATGGCTCTACTCATGATGCACACACGTGTTACAACACCCGCGATATGGGACAGGCAGTAGATATTCTTACCCCACCACTCACTACTACGCGTTTACTGTTTCTTACACTTTTTTAAATGTTTCGTATATTCTTTGCCATATTGCTGTGATATAAGAGACTCGTCAGTGACGATAAAAGGAAAAAAACAGAAGATTGTCAGAAGCATCTTCTAGTAATAATTCAAAGTAATTAAAAACTGCAGTTGGCAACATGGCAACTATGGCAAATGTCTCCGCGGATTAGGCGAACTATCAGGGAGACAATTTTTTAATTTTGCTTTGTTTAGCTAGAATTTTTATTCGGATAAGAAATTCCGAAATTTTGGGTCTCGAGCAGCCTTGTTATAATACATTTTACTAAATACAGATAGACTTTGGCTCACTCCAGGCTTGGCCGTCGTCGTGAGTAGGTTACTGTATCGTTTGTTTACAGTGGCTCGTGATGAAAAATATCGATCGCTGTAGAAATATAAATTATGCCAAAAAACAAATTTGATACAATAGAAGTAATAAAGTTATTTGTTAATAAGGTTATTTGTTAAAACTTGTGTGTATTTAAAATATTTAAAAAAAAATTAAGTATAACATGAGCGCTTAAGGCAGCATGTACCAAATATGTTACCACAAAAAAACTTTTTTGTACTTCTCAATTGTTAGAAGTATAATAGAATATTGTAGCACCGTCTGTCGTCCCCGTTATTCTACCCATACCCTACGGCTTGAGCGCATACAGAAAAGATTTTTATGGCATCTTGCCTTTTCAACACGAAAATCATATAAAAATGCATCATATTATGTTGGCACATTAAAGATATTTAAAATGGTCTCACTGTCGCTGTAAACCCCGGGATATTCTTGATTTGCAACTTTAATATAAAATATTTAGAAATAATTGATAGAATCAGGTGTTACTTTGCGGAAATCCATTATAATAAAAAATAAGAATATAAATTTCTTTGCAACCTTCCGCTAAATAAATACAATGATGTGTCTTACGGGATTGAAGAGCACCTCCCGCCCTCCCTCGAGAGGGAGGGCGGTAGGTGCTCTTCAATCCAGATAAGAATAAATTTAGAAATAAGTTAGATTGTCCTTTATTACTATCTAAGTAAATTTAATTTTCGTATCCCAAGTAGATATTCTCGTAAGTACATTACTCCTCTTTCGCCGCCCCTTCGTAGAACTGTACTCGTACTAGGATCTAATTCCCCAATACCCAGACTTTGCAGACTTTTAAATACTTATAATAATGTAGTAGATATTCACCACGACTCTAACGTTTTTCGATACAAAATTTATCAAACTATAAATATTTCTTTGTAGTAGGTACCTAATTGTTTTTGTATTAATTTAATTATTTTTTTAATTGTGTATTTTATATTTTTAGCTATTATGTAAAAAGCTTGTAGGAAATGCTGTGAGCACTAAGCATGCGGTGTTTACCTATTATTGAATGTGCACTTAGTTTATACCACTGTCTTAGAATTAAACAAATTTATTAGTGTAACATTTGTTGGTAAACCAAATAAACAAATAAATAAAATAAATGCACATTTGTATTTACCATTGAAGTAATATGTAATTGTACTTACGATAACAGCTCAATGGGATTTACCAAAAGTTTTTTTCGTTTATATGAGTACGAGTATGTCTTTATGTTTAAAATTTTCCAAGTTATATTTATTAATATGTCGTTATTATGATAGAAAAAGCAGTTAAACTTTTTAAGTCTTAAATAAGTCGGGGATAATTTTAACTATTTATTGTATATTTGAATAGTTTTCTTTGCCGAATGGGTATACTCGTATTGTATTATAAACACATCAGCAGTGGATTTGAGTTTGAATTATGAAAACATTGTTTCAGATTAGTAAACGAGAAATTTAACGAGCTGATGCATGGTGACCTGGTGCATTCTGAATGGAAAGTACTCGCCGGCATCGTTATTACCATCAATCACAGCGTGGAAGGAGCTAGGGTATGATTGTTTTGAATTTCTTTACAAGTTATTCTCTTGGATAAAATGTGTAAACACCACATACAAACGAAAACAATGTATTACTTGTATAGATTGTTTCATTGATGAATAGCCGTGTTCGCGACTTCATTCGCACAGAATAATTTTAAGTAATTTATAATTATACTTCCCTATCCGAATCAAAATTTGTTCACAATTTCACAATATTTCAAATTGTGAAGTTATTACGATTGGATTTTTTGCGCGGAACCCTAATTCTTTCTATAAAGTAAAAATAGTCTAAGTTACTCCTAATAACATGTCAGTGAAAGTCGCGTCAAAATCGGTCCTGTCGGTACGGAGATTAACCGGAACCGAACAACGAAACACACAGATAAAGACAAAAATTAAAAAAAGTGTTATACGAGCGTGACACCGAAAGTTCTTAGAAAATCAAAAACTGAACAAACTAGCAAGTTATTAGTTTTATTTGGTTTTATTATATCTTTTCAGAATAGTGTCCATTCATATCAATTAATCGCTTTTTGTGACGAGCTACTAATTTGGTTTTTATTTTTGTGTTGTATATGATGATTTCTTGAAGAATTACAGACCGATTTCCCTTCTGAGCCGCGTCTACGTGCTTTTTTCGAGAGTCATTACGAATCGTCTTGCACGCAGACTCGACGACTTCCAGCCTCCCGAACAAGCCGGTTTCCGAAAAGGCTTCAGTACCATAGACCACATACATACCCTGCGGCAGATTGTACAGAAGACCGAAGAGTACAATCTGCCACTTTGCCTGGCATATGTGGACTATGAGAAAGCCTTTGATTCCGTCGAAATTTGGGCGGTGCTACAGTCCCTTCAGCGGTGCCAAGTTGACTGTCGGTATATCGAAGTGCTGAAGTGTTTGTACAGTAGGGCTACGATGGCTATCCAAGTATAAAACCAGAGTTCGAAACCTATCCAACTGCAGAGAGGTGGAAGACAGGGTGACGTTATATCCCTGAAACTCTTCACCGCTGCGTTGGAAGATGTTTTCAAGCTACTAGATTGGAAAGGATACGGTATTAACATCAATGGCGAGTACATAAGTCACCTTCGATTTGTCAACGATATAGTCCTTATGGCAGAATCGCTGGAAGACCATAGCACTATGCTCCATGACCTCAATGGTGTCTCCCAACGGATAGGTCTTAAGATGAACATGGACAAAACAAAGATCATGTTTAATGTCCATGTCACACCTATGCCGGTAGTTGTTGGGAGCACTATGCTCGAATTTGTTGACGAGTATGTTTACCCGGGACAAATAGTCCGACTAGGTAAGTCCAACTTCGACCGAGAGGTCAATCGACGGATTCAACTCGGATGGGCAGCGTTCGGGAAATTACGAAACATCTTCTCGTCAGGTATACCTCAATCGCTGAAAACTAAAGTGTACAACCAGTGCCAGTGATGACTTACGGATCTGAGACGTGGTCCTTCACTGCTGACCGTATCAGGACGCTCAAGGTCGCTCAGCGAGCTATAGAGAGGGCTATGCTCGGAGTTTCTCTGCGTGATAGACTCGGAAATGAGGATATCCGCAGTAAAACCAGAGTGACCGACATAGCCCAACGGATTAGTAAGCTGAAGTGGCAATGGGCCGGCCATATAGCTCGAAGAACCGATAACCGATGGGGAAGAAAGGTTCTCGAGTGGCAGCCTCGTACCGTTAGGCGTAGTGTAGAGCGACCTCCCACTAGATGGAGTGACGACCTGGTAAGACATGCAGGAAGTCGATGGATGCAGGTGCCTCAGAACTGTGCTTTGTGGCATTACTTGGGGGAGGCCTATGTTCAGCAGTGGACTTGTGAAGGGCTGTAATGATGATCTTAGCGAAAACAGAGTTGGAACAATATTTAATTCAATTCATGGAAATTTCTGCATGGCATGAGCATAATTGTAGTATTCTATGGAGCCTAAATATGGCGATCTATAATGCAATTTTACTATCGTAGCAATATGTATTACCCATATTGCGCAAATAAATTTAAAAAAATAAGATTATGGAGACAGGGATTTCTGAGCCCAATTTGTAATAAGTTGAAATATGGTTGTAAAGATATGGTGTAAGAAAAATATGGTTTAAAATTTTTCTATTTCAAAATATAAAAAATTTGCCCAATTCACAATCTGGAAGACGAGAAATCTTAAAAAAAGTTTATGCCACGAATATAATAAGAAATCGATTACTTTAATCGATTAATGTGAATTACTTTTAACAATTAAACATAAAACATCTTACAGCAGATAATTGATTCAATCATAGTCATTATATTAATTACAATTAACACAGTGTCAACAGTTTAAAAACTAAAATATCAATATAATAAAAATAAATCTTAAAATTGATTGCCGTTTACAGTTCGATTTATTATTTGTGTATGCCAACTGCATTTTTAATCTGTGCTGACAGTGACAGCTCCTGTCTGACTCAGTCTATGATCACTCGTTGCGTATCGTTTGGTACGTGTGCGTTTTGAGTGTGTTTCTGTGTTTCCCGTTGTTTTATTGATTAATATTCCTCGGCCACTGCTTTCTCTCTACGGACTTCCGATCTAACTTAACTTGTTATCATACCGGACGCCGATAATCTCGTTTACTCGATTGACTTTGGCTCGTTGTTGTGGATTTTAAGGCCTGGATTTTATTGACTGGATATTGACACAATGGATCGTGACACTATTCTTCGATGATATTTTAATTATAATTGAATACCAATAAAAAATAATTAAAAAAGTGTTTTTTTAACATCACCTAATCTTCATTGTCTTTCAATCTATTTGTGAGTTACTATATTATATAATCCTCCCACTCAATACAATACAACAAATACTACAAATATGTAGTATAGTAAAAAACTGTCTTATAAAACAAAATATCAACTGCACTTCAAAAATCAGCTGTTTACTTTAGGTTGTTGCCTACTTGTTGCATAACCTCACTTTAACTAATCTCTTATAACTTTGCTCTCAGATTGCAAACATCCGCCAAATGTTCAGTAATGTTTTGATAATATATAAGCGATTGACATCACTTTCAAGTTTTTACAATCTGGACCCAAGAATGTGTGAATGCGTTTCAGTGTCCTTTAAATTGATCGTTTACTGGTGGTGCAAGAATATGCACTACTCTATCTTGGGAGTCGTAAGAAGCGACAGAGGGAAACAAATCAGGACATGGACAACAGCGTCTTCCTAATAGCAACTAGAAAATTTTTTCGGCGGAACGGTTTGGGTATTTAATGTTTGTTATTGACAGAATGGTTACGCTGTTAACTTTGTAGGCTATGTGCCATTTCGGGCGTTTTCCATAGTCATCTCTTTGGACATCCACGGGATTAAATTGGGTGAAGGACAAATTTCCGCCGTCATCATACAATAAGTTTATGTAGTCCTAAACTAAAGGTCCAGGAGGCTGTGTGCTGGGCAGAGGCCTTTACTAACATAACTGTTGAACTTACACAAGGTTTTTCTTGCAGGTGATAGCTGTGACTACTGGTACCAAGTGTATATCTGGGGAAAACATGTCAGTGAGGGGAATGGCCCTGAACGACTGCCATGCAGAGGTAATTACCAACACACACGATAACTACTAACGTCTTTATGTCCTATGTGGCACGAATGAGCCGGCTCGAAAGACCAAGCTGGTCTTTCGAGCCGGCTCATTCGCGGACAAATTAGCAACGTGGAATAGCAACCAAATGCCGCCGTGTGTTGTATTGTAAGTTTAGAGAACTGGAGACATTAAAAAATACTGGAAACGAGGCATTACATCATAATTCTCAGGGATGGCAACTTATCTACCTTTGGATTATTAATCTAGGATAGATATGTGTCTTTGTGCTATTAAAAGAGTTTTGCGTGGTAGAACCATGCTGTAGTTATATTAGTAGTATAGTTGTAGCACGACGAGTTGTATGTGAGAGTTGGGTCGGCTCAACCGGGGAAGGACCACGCTCTCACAGAATAGCATCGTGAAATGGTAGCTTGATGCTGATGTGTTTCGTATGGTGAATATATTCTGACCTTCTGTGTTCATCCATCGTACCGTCGTCCGTCTTGTAGAATCACGGTGGTGCCACCTAGCTGAATTTAATTTTGCAACATATTAAATTTTCCCACGGGAATGATATTGTTTTTCCGCTGAAAAAACCTATGTCACTCTACAGCCACCGAACTATCCCCATACCAAAATTCATTCCATGCCGACGCTCTGTTGCGACGTGAAAGAAGGACAAACTTTTGCAACATATTCTATTTTCCCATGAGAATGAGGCTGTAGAGTGACATAGGCTACTTTTTTCCGCGGAAAAACATCTCATTCCCGTGGGAAAATAGAATATTTTTAGAACGGAATGAGATGTTTCTCCGCGGAAAAAAGTTGCCTATGTCACTCTACAGCCACCGAACTATCCCCATACCAAAATTCATGCCATGCCGACGCTTTGTTGCGACTTGCGACGTGAAAGAAGCACAAACTTTTGCAACATATTCTATTTTCCCACGGGAATTAGATGTTTTTCCGCGGAAAAAAGTAGCCTATGTCACTCTACAGCCACCGAACTATCCTCATACCAAAATTCATGCTATGCCGACGCTCTGTTGCGACGTGAAAGAAGGACAAACAAACAAACAAACACACTTTCGCATTTATAATATTAGTATGGATTACATTTATGTATAACATTTAATAATTTAATTAAAACGATAAAGTGAATATGTACACTTCACCCAGCTGTGGGATATAGGCAGTAACTTTTCTTTTAGTTTTATACTCTACAAAGTAAATTCAATGTCACAATGCACGCCTTACTTTTTGTGATAATTTATTTGCTAATCAACCTGCATTCTAAAAGCAACCTTATTTCATTCGAAATATGTTTTTTTATTTAAGGTGGTAGCACGTCGCTGTCTACAGAGGCATCTGTACGCTCAACTTCTGATGTATGCGTCTTCACCAGGTAAGAATTCTTATGCCATGGTCTTAAGAGTTGTTAACATCTTACTAAGTGATACTAATCTATAACGCTGCTGCTTTACGCCGGTCTGGCGTAAACTGGATGGTTATAACGCCATCTATCGGGAGCCATGATATCTTTTTTGTTTTTCTCAAATAAAATAAGGGTGACAAGCGAGCACACAACTCAACGTAAATGCTGTGGTCTATAGACATCTGCATCTACCCCGAGATGGAATGCCGCGTAGTCAGTAAAAAGGGCCTCCGGTTCTCTACACTCACCATACGAAACACATCAGCATTAAACTGCTATTTTACGTTGATATTCTGTGAGAGCGTGGTTCTACCCTAGACGAGCTAACCCATTCGTGCCCAGTTATGTATAGCTAGCAGCGAGGTTCTTCCACATAGACGAATGAAAATTGGAATTGATGTTAAGAGAATAAAGTTGACGGTGAACCAAAAGATATTTTCCTGCGTCTATAGTACAGGCACTTTCAGATCCCCGAAAGCCGATACCGCAATCAGACCTGGAGCCATTGCCTGACGGCGGGTATCAGTTTAAAAAGGACCGTCAGGTACATCTGTACGTCAGCACGGTGCCCTGTGGAGACGGACGGATCTGCCGTCCATACGAGCGTAACGAGTCTGAGCCGGACAAACGCCCAAACAAGTAAGTTCTAACATTCTCAACACTCTTATTTTGAGGGCCAGTTTTTTTACCACTTCTGAGAGAGTTAAAGGCTTGCCCTTTAACTTTCTCAGAACTCTCTCTGTAGTGTTCACCGCTCTGTCCCAATGTGAGTTGACGAACTTCACATGTCTTCAAATTGTTTTGTTTATTTCTCAGATATGCAGGTTCCCTAACGGTGTTTTCCTTGACCCTCAGCACTTAAAATTGCAATTAACAATTTCATTGGTGCCAGCTGGAATTGAAACAGGATTGCTTACGTACAATGAAATTTGCGGCGAGCACTAAACCCCTCAGCTACTACTCATCTCATAAGTGAGAGGAGGCCTGTGCCCAGACGTGAGACTTACTTTACTTTTTTGTTTATTACTTCAATTCTTTAATAGACATATCCCATAAAAAAAAACTTAAAAAAATTGCTGCATAGTGGTGGCCTAAGAGAATCCTCTATCTTAGAAGAAGAGACAGAGGGAAACAAACTAAAACATTGGCAGTAGCGTCTTCCTAGTGACTACTAAAAATAAAAAAAACTGCGGTTGCTTAAAGTTTACAGTAGCAACGCGGATCCTATCTCACCGGCATTAATGACATTTTTAACTTTTGTTTTACCACATGCTCGTCGGTGAAAGAAAACATCACGAGGAAACCTGCATTTCTGGGAAATGAAATATTATTTTTTTGTGAAATAAAAGTAACAGCTGATTAGTGACCACCAGTACAGTTTCCGTCGCGATCGCTCGGCTGGTAAATAAAATTAAATAAACAATTAAAATATCTGCGTTGCTCTTTTGCGGTCTGAAGGGTTCAAAGAGTCGGTATCAATACTGGCTGTAACACTCAACATCCAAGTTCTCAGTGGTGATAACGCATCTGTAGCGTTCTTTGAACTTCGCTGCTGGTGTCCATTGATTGAAGTAGCCATTTACCTTCAGGTGGCCTGTAAGTTCGTTAGTCACTAGTTTCTTTAATTCCTTTTACGCGTACATAGTCGTTACCATGTATATCCATACAAAATATACATAAATACTCATATTTCGCCAACAGACTCGCCTGTGGCCAGTTGAGGACCAAGATAGAATCCTCGGAGGGCACAATCTCCGTTAAGAACTGCAACAAGTTCATCCAGACCATGGACAGCGTTTTGCAGGTGATCTCAATGTTGCAAGCTTTATATGTTTTAAGAGGGCATATATGCGATTTGCGTCGAAAACTTCATGTTTTAGGGTTTTTTCAAGGGCGAATCGTAAAAATGTGAGCAGATTATTCGCAAAAAATTACGGCTTTAGAAAGCTGAAGTCTTTATTTAGTGCACTATAATGGAAAAATCGTAGTTTTTAATGATGGTTTTTTAGAGCGAAGACAATCCCTCCATAGCGTTTTACGAAAATATGCGTCAGAGTTATCTTCCAGGTCGAATACAACCATTATAATAAGCTAAAATACTTTATTTTAAGCGTTATTATAATAGAATATATAGTCTTTTAGTGCAAAACAAAGTGTAAATTACGAAAATATTTCGATTTATTATTAAAAGACAATACTATAAAATCACCAAAACCGTCCACTTCCATGTCCGTGTTCCGTGCATTTTGATATAAACTTATCTTTTGTAATTATTTTATCAAAATACAGGTAATGCTGAACATCCGAAAAAATTTTAGCTCGTTTTATTTAGTCAATTATTTTATATGATTATTTTAAAAATATTGTAAATCATCAGGCGCAGATGCCGTCCGATTCAGTACCACAGAGTACTTTTTGTATACCAGAAATTCTGTACGCTCCGGGTCTTGCCAACGACAGAACGTATCACTTTTCGCGCGATAGTTTAAAATAGTGTTGACAAGTGTCCCTCTTTGGGAGAGTCTGAAAATCGGGTCCGAATTTTTACTAACCTTCTTGTTTGTATTTTCATCGATAATTTTGACAGCAAAATTTAATGTATCTGTAAGCTGTTACTACCTTGAAATACTTTTATTTTGACATTTTCATATTTTCCCACCAAGTTCGAACTAAATGGGCAACATGTAAGTTTTAATCTTTGCGCTTAATGTGTTGGCATGCCAAGATACAGATATCAATTCGTTTTTTTTCTCTCTGGCTTGTGCCCATCGCCGGGTTGCGTTATGCATCGATGTCGTTAATTCGACAATCATTTATTATTTTATTCTATTACTAGTACAGTACCTACCTAACTTACATGCTACTGTTTAGGTAAGTACATTTAGTAAAATGCAAAAGCCTTGTGGAAAAGTTTTTCCACCAATCAATTTATTCAATCGGTTGTAGGTAAATAAATAAAAAAAAACAATAAATAAAGTAACCATTATCCGACTGATGCAAGGATTTTCTCTAGGCTATCAAGCTGTGAGGTATTAAAACATGTAAGTTTTTTAAAGGGATTTTTGAAGTGCAGGAGTTGTGAGTTCATAAGATTTATTACTATTTTCAGAATAATATTATTCAGAAAATTCAGTCTGCAAAGATGTTTGGACGAAACATTATTCGTTCATTTGATCAGTCCTAAGTAATAATTATTTGTTGGTTAAGAATATCCGCTACCCCATATCTTCCCGTGGGTGTCGTAAGAGGCGACAGAGGGAGAGAAGCAGGAGATGGGCAGCAGCATCTTCCTGATAACAGCAATAGACAAATAAAAAACTGCGGTTGCCAACCCGCTCGCCAAGCGTGGCAACTATGGCAAACATCCCCCCATGAGTAACGACACTAACAAACAGCCCCTAGTCCCCCGCGGCCTACTATTTCCTGGCTACGGTGGCGACCATGGTAACGGCGCGGTAGGGGGTGCTAAGAATCTCCGGTGGAGGTTCCGTCGCCACCTACGACGGCTCGACCTGGCAACATATAACGCACGCACCCTGAGGACTGACGAGAAGATACTGGAGCTGGAAGAAGAGGTAGACAAGTTGCGCTGGCATTTAATAGGATTATCCGAGGTGCGAAGAGAGGGGGAGGACACGGTAATCCTAGAGTCCGGCAACTTGTTCACCGGGAGGGCGACCATCTGTCCCAAAGAGGCGTCGGATTAATTATACATATTTAGATAAATTAAAGCTGTTTCAAATTAGATTTATGAAAATATTAGTGAACACAAAAGCTAAAATAAAATACAGGGATAATTATGAGCAGCTATTCCAGGAGTTTAATTTAATACCGATACATGAGCAATTTAAAATATCATTTGCGACATGTGAAAAGTATTATACAATTTTATGGGACGCATTGCGTAGTTTTATCCCCATAAAAAAGAATACGCGCAGACCGCATAAAGTAATAACTTTACTTACTTACTTACTTATCTTCACGCACAATCCCTAACGGGGTAGCCAGAGAGAACAGATCGCCAAGTGTCACGATCCTTACATACCTCTTTCGCTTCTTTCAGGTTCATTAACTTCTTCAAACATGCACGTCTAGGTATCCGAGTACTCTTGACCTTCCCCTCTTCGAGCAATTTGCTCACATGGTCTTCGAAAGTTAGTCTCGGTCTACCTCGACACCTTTTAATATTTACTTTCGCTCTATATATTTTCTTCACCATTCGGTCTTCACTCATTCGTTCAACGTGCCCAAACCATTGGAGTACGCCCCTATCAATTTTTGTGATAAGGTCATATTTCAATCCTGCCATATTGCGAATCTCTTCGTTTCGCTTTCGGTCGGCTATGGTAACGCCACACATTTTACGAAGAGATCGCATCTCCACTGCAATCAACTTGCTTTTATACTTCGTCTGGCATACCCAGGTTTCGCTGCCATATAACAAAGTCGGTACCAACACTGCGTTATGTATTGCAAGGCGTGCACTCTTCACTACGCCTTGCCTTTTTACTAATGCATTCAGGGCACCATTGACTTTGTTTCCGGCAGCGACACACCTATCCACATCTAAATCACATCTTCCATCCCGGCTGAAAGCACTCCCCAAGTATACAATTTCATTTACCTGTTCTAGACATTCCTGATTTACCCATATTTCACATTTCGTTCTCTCTTCGTCCTTTTCAAATACCAGAACCTTAGTTTTATTAGCAATAACTTTACAATATAAATATTGCTAATTATTATGGTAAAAGAACGTTCCAACATTTAATAGCAAAAATTTATAACAGTTTAATGCAAGAATGCCTTACGCATAAATCAAAACAACAGTTTAAACATAAGTTAAAAAAACTTTATGCTAATAAAAAGTAAAAATGGAATGTATCATGACGATCCATTGTACAACATCATAGGTAAGCTGTAATATTCAGGTATGTATATATTTGTATGCATGTATGTATGTATATAATTATGTGTATGCGTACATGCATTTATGCATATATTTAAATTATTGATTAATGTTATAATAATACTATTGGTTTGTCATATTAGTGGTAGTATAATTGTATTAAGCTAGTTCTCCAAACTGCTGAGCAGTTTGGCAGATTGTAAAAATAACTAATCATGTAATTTTTTATGTTAAATAAATAAATAAAAAAAATCCACAAGTCTCTCGTCAATAACGTTGTAAAGATTGAAAGTGTCGACGAGGGTCGCGTACCTGATACACAGAATCACCAAACGGTATTCGCTAAAGGTGATACAGGTTTACGCACCAACCTCGGTACATCACGCTGAGGAGGTGGAGGAAATGTATGAGGATATTTCTAGAGCCATGCATTCCTCCAAAACCCACTATACGGTGTTGATGGGAGACGTCAACGCAAAACTAGGCACAAGAGAAAGCGGTGAGCTGAAGTTAGGGAAATTTGGAATACGGCAACGGAACCCTAGGGGCCAGCAGCTAGCCGACTTTATGGAGAAAGAGGGACTCTTTATGATGAACTCTTTCTTCCAAAAGCGGCCCCACAGAAAGTAGACCTGGTCGAGTCCCGACGGTTTGACAAAAATGGGATTGACTTCATTATGACGACCAGGCGCCAACTGTTCAGTGATCTCTCAGTGAACGCGAGGGTGAAAACTGGCAGCGATCACCGAACAGTTAGAGGCACACTGAACCTAAACGTTAAGCTGGAGAGGTCTCGTGTAATGAAGTCAACGCTACGTCCCCTCGTGCGCTAATCCAGGGTCCCGAAAACTTTCAGCTCGAATTACAAAACCGTTTTCAGTGCCTAGAAGACTGCAATACAGTGGATGATATGAATGACAAGCTCGTGGAAACTGTTCATGCGGTCGGAGCTAAGTTCTGCAAGACCCACCGCAGAAGAACACAAAAACTCTCCGGTCACACTCTTAATCTCATGGATGTTGCAGATGGGCAACAGGCAACTGAGCAGACGGATCTCCAAGTGCATGCGGCGGGACTTACGCAACTTCAATACAGTTCGTATTGAAGAAGCGATTGAGCGGAATCAGGGCTCCAAAGTCTTTGCCAGAGATCTGTCTGCCAGAAAGAGCCGACTGTCAAGGCTGAAGACTGAGTGTGGCAGCATCATTTCCGGGACACCTGAGATTTTGAGTGAGATTGAGAAGTTCTAATGGCAGCTGTACACATCATCGTTGGAGTCACACGCAAGTGTGAGTAACGATCCAGGAGCAAGTTTTAGCCGACACTATTACGATGATATCCCGGACGTCAGTCTGAGCGAGATTAGAATGGCTCTCCAGCACCTTAACAACGGCAAGTCCCCGGGCGAGGATGGAGTTACAGCAGAGCTTCTGAAAGCGGGTGGAAAACTGGTACTTGAAGTCCTTCAGAACCTATTTAATTCTGTCTTTCATGGAGTCACTACTCCCGAGGCGTGGAGCAGAAGTGTGGTGGTATTGTTCTTTAAGAAAGGTGACGACGCTCTCTTTAGGAACTTGTGGCCTTAGAAGGAAAAGGGGCGATCTCCCGCCGGGCAAGGTGTTTTGCCCGGGGAGCGGCCAATACTCCGTGTGATAGTTCGGAGATGTTCTATATATACTGCTTATGATGCGAAATTTTGATAGCGTGATTTAGGCTTCGGTGTGTTTTGCTTGCGGCGCGACGACAGCGCGGCTACATCATCTCCCGCCGGGCAAGGTGTTCTGCCCGGAGAGCGGCCAACGCTCCGTTGTATCCGCTCCGATGCTTCGATGTAGCGGCGCTATCGTCGCGCTGCAAGCGAAACACACCGAAGCCTAAATCACGCTATCAAAATT